TCTTCTTATTTTGTTGTGTCCATGTGGAACTTAGATGATAGTATTAGGTAAAATTGTCTGTTTAGACTGTTGCAATCCATGTATACCTAGATTTGGACAAGAAGGAAGGGAAGATAACAAATGGATTTCAACTGATTACTTGCAAATAGTCATTTCAAATGTTCTATGCCGAATTATTTCAAATACATTCAATCTAATCGTTTTCTATCCAAATCCTTTCTTTGAAATTCCTCTGTCCAAATGGTGCATAACTTTGTGTTCTACGTGTAATTAGCATTTGAATTTAACCCCTATTGCTTTCTTGTTACCTCAGCAGCTGAGGGATTGAAATATTATGATTTGGTTGAGGGAAAGGGTCCGGTAGCTGAGAAAGGATCAACGGTTGAGGTATAAATAGAATTCTAGTTTAAGGAAAATGATGTTTGTTATCATGCCTTTCAGTCTTTGGATATGTTCTCGCCTCTGTTTTTGATTTGCAAATACTTCACAGGTTCACTTTGACTGTTTATATCGTGGGATTACGGCTGTATCAAGCAGGGAATCTAAACTCTTGGCTGGAAATCGTAGTATTGCCCAGGTTCTCAACTTTACTTTTGTGGGTGTGTTGAGAGCTTCTGCACAGCCCCTTTTTTGATCCAAACCAATAGTCATTTGAGGCTCAACTCTTTAATCCATGAATGAATTCCCAATGCACAATTCCTTGTTTTCTACTAGCCATACGTGTTCAAGGTCGGAGCTCCTCCTGGGAAAGAACGAAAGCGTGAGTTTGTGGACAATGCAAATGGTCTATTTTCTGCACAAGCTGCACCAAAACCCCCTCAAGCAATGTACTCGGTAACTGAGGGGATGAAAGTAGGGGGGAAGGTGATGGCATCCTCCTTTTATGCTTAAATACATATATGCTACATTCCTATTTATTATTATATCGAACATCTCCATTGATGTGTCGGTATTACCCATTTCTTTTCCTTCCTTTCTCACCTTTGAACTTTGAAGCTTTTCCATAATCAATTTCTGATATCCTTGCAGCGAACTGTGATTGTTCCTCCTGAGGCTGGGTACGGTCTAAAGGGCATGAATGAGATCCCTGTAAGCACTTTAAACATCATTTGTTTTCTTCTTTTTTAGAATGCTTTGTTTGGTTTACCAATTTTAACTCCCACACCTTATCTAGGCATCATGAGTATCATTCTTTTATTTTTTTTTATACTGTGCTAGCATATTTGTACTGCAGTGGCATTGTTAGTTTCTAATATATTACGTGGATTGGATTGAATATTCTTTCTTACTTCTGTCACACCATTCCGCAGCCTGGAGCGACATTCGAGCTAAATTTGGAGCTTTTGCAAGTGATTCCACCTGAAGGAAAGTGAGCCTGATGTAGGAGGTTGTGAGAAGTTCATGTTTGAACAACCTTTAAAAGAGTAGTGATATAGCCAGCCTCAAAGATTCTTTCGTATGTAATAGAAAGTTTTGCAATTGCTGAATCAGTTCATGCTATCTGCAGTTTCTGTATGCAATTC